TCGTAGAAGAATTGATGCCTTTGAATTGTGTGGTGTTGGAGGAGAATACTGAAAGTGCCATGGACTGCCAAAAGAACCAATAGATCTGTTTTGGAAGAGGTGCAGCCAGAGTGCTCCTTGGAGGCCAAGATGGCTAAGCTTCGTCTCTCATACTTTGGACACACTGTCAGGAGGGAACAGTCGCTAGAGAAGGATGTCATGTTGGATGTTAGAGAAAGAGAGGAAGACCCCCCAAAGAGATAGATTGGCCAGGTGGCATCATTGATGGCGTCAAGTGTGGCAGCGACAGTAAGGTTGGCCCAGGATCTGACATTGTTTCGTTCTGCTGTCCATGGGGTCACTATGAGTCTGTTCCGACTCGATGGCACCTGACAACAACAACAACATAATTATATGTAGGACAGGTGCTCAATGTCAAAAAAAAAGGGGGGGGTAGGCAATAGATTCTGTGGTATTATATTCAAATTGCTTATTCTACAGCACCAGACCAGGACTCCATATCATGATATGTTGTTGTAAAGTGCTGTCAAGTCAATTCCAACTCACAGCGACCCTGTATAGGGTTTCAGAGGAGCAGCTGATGGATTTGAACTGTTTATATTTTGGTTCATAGTCCAGTGCTGATCATACAGCTGTGCCACAAGATATATTGTTGTTGTTATTAAGTGCCGTTGAGTTGGTTCCCAGCCCATACCGACCCTGTATAGGGTTTCCAAGGAGTAGCTGGTGAGCTTGAACCACCAACCTTGTAATTCAAATGACTTTGCAGTCTGACGCCATTAGCCCACAGCACCATACCAAAGCTCCATCCATGATATAGATGGTAATTATAGGATACAGACATATGTTAAAACACACTGACTTCTACACTGACGATAAAAGCATGAGAGTACATAATTAAACCCATTAGGTATAACTGACAATTAGACAGTATCAACAGCAAAAGTAGGGTAGGAAGGTTAGTTTAACCCTACTACAAACAGCAAATGTCAATACTGAAAAGAAAAAGGGTGGTGGTGGTAGTATATCGTGGAGTCGGTTCTGACTCACAGCGACCCTGCAGAGGGTTTCCGAGGCTGTAAATCTTTAAGGGAGCAGAAAGCTTCATTTTTCTCCCACAGAATGGCTGGCAGTTTCGAACTGCTGACCTTGAAGTCAGCAGCCCAAGTTGTAACCAAAGATAGACCAGAGGGGGTAAAAAAATTACATATTGGGCCATTCTCAACTGAAACTCAAAGTTCATTATATGATAAAGCTATCTGATTTACAAATATTAAGACATTTAGTCCAAAATTTGGCTGTACTTTTAAAAGGTGTTACACATACCTTAAATTTCTCCAGATTTCTAATTTCACCTAAAAGATGTTTGATTTCACCATTCTTCTGTTCCAACATGGCAAACAACCGTTCCTGCTGCTCAAATTCAGTTTGAGACCCTTTCATCTGTAGCAACGTGGCAATTTGTAACTAGAAAAAAAATTAATCCCCCAATGAAAATCAGTAGGGGAGAATACAATTTTGAAGACCATATGGGAGCTTCAAAAATTTTTTGGAAAACAGAATTTAAAGATGATAAAGTTTTTTCTAAAAACTTTTTGGAAACCTCCTCGTATAGTTAGCAGAATTCATATTTTGAGCTCATTTTAGAAACTAAATAGATTTTTTTAGTCTAACAATTTTCAAATATTTATATCAACAACTATTATCACAGATTCTGAGAACTGGAATGTTTATTTTGACTACTTGTAACTGATACCTTAAGTCTATAAAAGAATTATTTGTAGGTTTGCTAAAATAAAATTTGACGGCTATGGTTTGGAAACAGCTCATTTAACTGATTTAAGTAAGCCTGGCCAAATGATTTCTACTTCTCATATGTATTCCCATTATGGTTCTTCTGGAGTTGCTCAAAAACTTTAACTGACTTCAATAGTACTGAATAGAGGAAATGAAACCAAACCAAATCTACTGCTGTTGAGTAGATTCCAACTCAGAAAAGATCCTGTAAGGCAGAGTATAACTGACCCACAGAACTTTCAAGATTGCAATCAACAGACCACCACATCTTTCTCCCTTGGAGGAGCTGGTGGGTTCAAACCACGGATGATTCAGGTTAACAGTCAAGCACTTAACCATTACATCACCAGGGCTCCTGGAAGGAAGTTACCTAGAATTAAGCATGCTTTATGTCTTCAGAAATTTCAGGAGTTCTGAAAGGCACCTATTACATATTTGCCAAGCATCTTATAAGCATTTTACTATACTCTCGTTTAACTCTAAGGACAATTCTAAAAGGCAGGTTCTATCATCTTTTGGTAGCGTAGTGGTTACGAATCGGGTTGTAAACCTCAGGGTCAGCAGTTCGAAACTACCAGCTGTTCTGTGGGAGCAAGATGAGGCTTTCTGCTCCCATGAAGATTTACAGCCTCGGTAACCCTGTACAGGGTCACTATGAGTCGGAACCGATTCCACGGCACGTAACAACAACAACATCATCTTCATGTTATAGATTTGATAACTATAAATTAGTTACAAATAGCTATAAATAGTTTGAAAAATTAAAATACCTGTCAAACATCACACAGCTAACAGTTAGAATTCAATCTCAAATTCATCTAACTCTAAAGCTTAATTTTGGACCTTATATACATTTCTTTGATAAGATCAACTTTCCTGAATACACAAAAGAAGCCTTTCCAGGTTTAGAGTTACCATCTGAGAGAGTCAGACACACAGACAAAAACCCTAGGATTATACGGACAGTGCTGGCATCTTTTTAACATCCATAAGTTTGTTTTCTCTTCCCTCTTTCCTTGACTAGAATGATAACCAGAAAGACCATTTTAATCCAAAGGGCCTATCAATATGCTTGACTTAAGATGCTGCAAGGAAAGTGGATGCTCAAGAATCTGTATTTCACTCAATAATAAACCTTTGTGGGAGAGCTCGTTTTAGATTAATTAGGAACCTTAGAGCTGTGCTCAGAAAGATACTTGGTTAAAGAGTATGAAATAATAACATTTAAATTATTTTCTGTACCGCACAAAGAAAGTTATAACTCCCTGGCAAGGCTAATGAGTTATCACTTTAAAAAAACAGAGAAGGAATATATATATATATAAAATTTGTGTGTGTGTGTGTGTGTTGTCAAGTCATTTCTGACTCATAGCAACCCTCTGTAGGGTTTCCAAGAATCGGTTGGTGAGTTTGAACCACCAACCTTGTGGTTCAAACAGACCTTGTGGTCAAATGCTTTATCCCACAGCTTGTTAGGTACCACTAAGTACCGACTCATAGAGACACTATGCACAATAGAATGAAACACTACCCAGTCCTGAGCCAAGCTCACAATTGCTGCTATATTTGAGCCCATAGCTCAAACATATGTTATAAACATACGTTATCCCACAGCTTATATATATAATTGTTGTTGTTAATGCTAAGTGCCGTCAAGTCAGTTTCAACTCATAATGACCCTATATAACGTTTTGAGGCTGTAAATCTTTGCATGAACAGTAAGTCTCTTCTTTCTCCCACAGAGCATTTGGTAAGCTTGACCTGCTAGCCTTGGGCCTACAGAGTCACTGAACTCATATATACGTGTGTGTGTGTGTGTATGTTGTTTTTGTTAAGTGCCGCTGAGTCGGTTCTGACCCATAGAAACCCTGTATAGGGTTTCTGAGGCTGTAAATCTTAATGGGACCAGAAAGCCTCATCTTTCTCCTGTGGAGTGGCTGGTAGTTTTCAACTGCTGACCTTAAGGTCGCAGCCTGATTCATAATCACTACACTACCAGAGTTCCTTATATATATGTGTGTGTGTATTTATGTCCCTTTTTTATATATATGGGCTAATGTGCCAGACTGCAAAGCCGTTTAAACTGCAAGGACAGTGGTTCAAGCTCACCAGCTGCCCCCATACAGGGACACTATGGATCGAAATCGACATGATGGCACTTAACAACAACAAATATGCATATATATATATAATGTTAAGTGCCAACAAGTGGGTTCCAACTAATAGAGACCCTATGTAGGATTTCCAAGGAGTGTCTGGTGGGTTTGAACTGCCAACCTTGTGGTTATCAGTCCAGTGTTTATCCTACAGCGCCACACCAGGACCCTAGGCTTCAAAAAATAATGAAAAAATTCCACTACATTTTAATTACATTTTCCCAGGAACTTTTTGAACTTCTGAAATCCCTTCTTGTATGCACACTGTATGTGGGGGCTTCGAAGTTTGTGGAAAAAGGAATTAAATGATAATAAAATTTTCAATAACCCCCACCCTCCATCAGTGTTGCTAAATAACTAAGTCATTATTCCAGGATTAATTTTGAAAGCTAAAATATAAATAGATATTTTACTCAATGGGAAAAAAAAAAAGCAGAGACAAAAGTGCTTTAAAAGTTTGTGGAAGAATGGAATTAAAAGATAATGGTATTTTTCAATGAACTTCTTAAAGCACCCTCATATATAGTTATGTGGTTCTAAAAAAATTAGTGCACTCCTCAGAAGAAAAGATGGTTTCTTACATATGACACAAAATAAAGTTTAATAAACATTTGATGGTCAAAACTCTATACCTTCATTCTTTGCATCTGTTCTCTATTAAATGCATTTTGCTTCTTTAGGGACTGATATTTGACTTTCATACTGATAAGCTGGCGTTCCATTGCTGCTCTTCGATCTTCCACCTAGGAAATATTAACATGTTTAATTGTTCTGGCTATTAGTGAAATTCACATTTATTCATTAAATATTTGTAAGTACCTCTGCAAACAAAGAGTTGCCTTTACTACTGGGGTCCAATGCTTGCTGGAGTGCCTGGTCCAATTGCACTTGAAGATCTTGATTTGCTTCACGAGCTTTCTAAATTCAAAAGGAAACAATTTTGCTAATAGAGATTAGATTAGCAGGAAAACAGCTCTTTAGAAATTGGAAAACAAGTTACTGTAACCATTATACCTCTAAGGCATTGCAGTAAGATACTGCTTCTTTCTCTCGGTCCTGTTTTTCTTCTTTAAGTCGGTCTACCTGGCGCAGTAAGTTATTACTAAGAAGTTCTAGTTGCTCTTGTCTGTACTGTAGTTCATTAACTTCTTCTTGGAGGGTGGTCTATTGAACAGGAATTGAAAAAGACACTCTTTTAAATAATCTTTCATTAAACAGCTGTTCAGTTTGTCCATTAGTGGTGATCACACCCAAAACTAAAATGGAAGAACTAGTCAAAGGTTGGGAAATAATAAAAAATACTGAAATCTTCAGCAGGAAACCAAATAAAAGTACCACAGACTGCCGGAAGAACACACAAATCTGTCCTGGAAGATGTGTAGCCAGAATGCTCCTTAGAAGAGAGGATGGTTAGACTTTATCTCTCCTTTTTTGGACATGTTATCTGGAAGGACTAGTCTCTGCAAAAGGGTATCATGCTAAGTGAAGTAGAGGAGCATCAAAAAGGGGAAGACCCTTAACGAGATGGAATGACAAAGTGACAACAACAACGGGCTCAAATGAAACAATTTTAAGAATGCTGCAGGACTGGGTAGTGTTTCATTCTGTTGACCAAAACAGGATCACATTAAAACGGAAAGATCTGGATGGCACCTAACAACAAAGGTTAGCTCTGCCTTACATTATCATGTAACCATATAATGCAAAATTATACTATGCATAATGCAATTCCTCTAAAAGGTCTATAAAACATTTTTAATTACTCAAAGTGAGGTAAAAAATGTTTCAACCTTAGTTAGCTCACAAGAATTAAAAATGTGTAAAGAATAAACAAAAGGGAAAAATAAACAAGAAAGCCCATCCATAAAATTACCTTTACACTTTCCATTTCAGTCAACTCAATTTGAAGACCCAGCATCTCTGAAGACATGCTTTCATGTGCACGTTCAGACATTATCCGCATCTCCTCTGACTTACAAGATAGGAGTTCCTTCTGATGGTCTACTTTGTGCTTCAGCTGTTTTTCATTAAGTCTAGCTTCATCTAATTCAGCTTTCAGCTTTTCTAACTAAATATTGGGGGGGAAAAAAAAAAGCACAATCTTATGCATCAAAAGGAACCTGTTCTGATATCTGCAGGGTAAGTGCTTTCATCAAGAGTCAGGTTGAACAAGCCTATTTTACTACTCTGTCTAAAATGTAAGTTTCTAAAGCTTGGGAAACTAACAATACTCCTGTATAGCTTAATGGGCACAACAAAACTTTAGGGTATGACCTAAGCTCGAATCTTTTCTTGGTAAAGTTACTTAATCATTCTAAACTTCATTTCTCATATTTAAAACAGATAACTAAATGACTGTAGTTGTTAAGTGCTGTGGAGTCAGTTCCAACCCATAGTGACCCTGTATAGGTCACACCAAAGGGTGTCTGGTGAGCTTGAACCAGCAACCTTGCAGTTCAAACAGACTTTGCAGTCCAGAGCATTAGCCCACAGTACCACACCACTGGGTAATTGTTAAGACCAGATGAGATCACAGGGATAAAACATTTAGCACAGAGCTTGTTGTTGTTGTTGTTAAGTGCCATCGAGTTGGGTCCGACCCATAGCGACCCTGTACAGGGTTTCCGAGGGTGTAAATCTTTACGGGAGTAGAAAGCCTCATCTTTCTCCCACGGAGCGGCTGGTATTTTCGAACCGCTGACCTTAAGGTTCGCAGCCCGATTCGTAACCACTACGCTACCAGAGCTCCAGCACAGAGCTTAGCATTCACTAAATGGTAACTGTTATCAATAAAAAGCCATCTTGATGCATGGAGGTATTATTATTATTTATATTGAATTCAATAGGGTCTCAACATATCTTAGAACACACCCTGGCAGTTCTCTTCTGGCACTGTAGGATCAGCACTAGACTACAAACCACAAGGTCGGCAGCTCAAACCCACTGTTCCTTGGAAACAGTCTACAACAGGGTTGTTGAGTCGGAACTGAGTTGATGGCACTAACAACTAGCCAATCTTTTGGAGTTCCTGTGTGACTCAAATCGTTGAGTGCTGGACTGCTGTTGTTAAGTGCTGTCCAGTCAATTCTGACTCATAGTGACCCTGTATAGGGTTTCCGAGGAGTAATTGGTGAGTCTGAATCTATGACCTTGCGGTTCAAACCACCTTGACGTCACATGCTCATCTGAAGGTGCCACACCAGGCCCACTGGACTACTAACTGAAAAATTAGTCATTTGAACCTGGCGGTACCTCAGGACACAGACTGGAGATCTGCTTCCAAAAGGTCCCAGCCTTCAAAACCCAATGGAGCACAGTTCTACTCGGATACAGAAGTAATCGCTATGAGCTGGAATTATCTTTAACTAACAACAGCAACAGAAATCTTTTAACAGACAGTGAGATGTCTTTTTCCACAATCATACAATTAATCCATACAAGTAATCTAAGCAGACAGCTAATACATGAAATTGAGAACATCAAAACAATGAAAATAAGTTTTGACTGATTGATTCTTTTCTTCATCAAAAAAGTCATTTCTGTAAAAGGCCTTGCCACAGTTCCTGAATATTTGATATTATTTTTTGTTTGTTGTTGTTAAGTGCCATCGAGTCAATTCCGACCCACAGTGACCCTGTATAGGGTTTCCAAGGAGCAGCTGGTGAGCTTGAACCACCGAACTTGCAGTTCAAACAGCTTAGCAGTCTGGCATATTAACCCACAGAGCCATACCGATACCATGAAAATACCATGCAGGAAAAAATGTGATGCATCATTATCAGTTATTAGTGTCACATCTGCAGACAAGCTAGATTACTACCTGTCATAGTGGCATGCAAGATGATTCCAAGTGTTACACAAAATTGTATTTTCAGTTATGTTTATTTCCTGGAAAAAATATAACTTAGTTCAAATATGTTTAATTCCACTGATTTCATTACTTACAATGAGAAAATGCTATTAAAGTGAGCCTGTTTAATGAAAAGCTATGCAATAATAGTGAGCTCTGGTAGCGTAGTGGTTACAAATTGGGATGCTATCCTCAGGGTCAGCAGTTCGAAACTACCAGCTGTTCTGTGGAAGAAAGATGAGGCTTTCTGCTCCTGTAAAGATTTACAGCCTCAGAAACCCTGTACAGTGTCTCTGTGAGTCAGAACCAACTCCATGGTACATAACAACAACAACATGCAATAATATTATTGTGCTTTACAGAAAAACCAAACACTGGAAGAAAGACTTCTGAGAAAACAAGACAGAAGTCAGGCAGGTCTCACTGGAGACATGCACAAAGAGGATCCATGAGAAAAGGGCTAGATTCCTTAGAGGTAATCTGAAGGCACAGAGTAGCTGGGGCTGCCAGAAAGGGACTGGATAATCACCACACAATCATTGTATACTTTGTATTCACACTTGATATGGAGCCAATATTAAGGGGCGTCAAGAGTGAGTACAAGGAACTCTGGTATCATAGTGGTTACAAGTTGGGCTGCCAACCTTGAGGTCAGCAGTTCGAAGCTACCAGTGGTTCTGTGGGCGAAAGATGAGACATTCTGCTCCCGGAAAAATTAACAGCCTTGGAAACCCTGTGCAGGGTCACTATGAGTGGAACCAACTCCACGGTACTTAGCAACAAGCAATAAGAGTGAGTACAGTGATTCAGAGACCTAGGCTTTGGAGTCACACTGCCTCAGTTCAAATATTAGCTAGCAATTTCTAGCTCTGTAATTTTGGCCAATATGCTCAATCTGTCTAAACACTGGCTTTCCTCATCGGTTATATTGAGCTATAAGGAAACCTCCCCTGAAAGAGATCATGTGTTATTAGTTTGTCTTCAATCAACAAAGATAAAGTATCAATTCTAAGGTGCATCATTTACAAGAAACTTGGTTTCTTTTGGGGGATTCCAAAGCATGCCACTAGTTACAGTAGACTAGCTCTTTATGGACCTAGTCTTTCAGCAAGGGGACTGATTTACTATGTACTACAAGCAAGGAAGCACTGTTGTCACTACCCATGGCAGTGAAATGTGCACTCCATCACAAGTATACACTTACCAAAATTAGACAATTCCATTTAATTAGTTGAGGAGTCCTGGTGTGGCGCTATGGGTTAAAGCTCCAGACTGCAAAGCCGTTTGAACTGCAAGGTTGGCGGTTCAAGCTCACCAGATGCTGCTTGGAAACCCTATAAAGGGTCGCTATGGGTCAGACCCAACTCAACAGCACATGACGATAACAACAATCTAATTAGTTGAACTTATATAAAAATTACATTTAATGATTTATACAAGTCTCTTAGGTAAACTCTTGTTATCTGTGCTGTCATCAAATAACGGAACATTTGACCTTAGCTATTTTGCATAGGTGATAACCAAGAAATTCTTTAGCACCAATTTTTCAGATGGCTGTGCAAACATGGAACAGTTTTGCTCTGAAATATATAGACATTCAAACCTTATCTTTTAGTTCATTCACTTCCTGCCCATGGCGTCTGCTCAGCTGTTCTTCTAATTTCTCCAATTGCATTTTTTGTTGCTGTTTAACGGCTTCACATTCAGAGCTCAAACTTTCTAATATTCGACTCTTGAGCTCAACTTCTCTCTGAAGAGTGTATTTTTCTTGTTCATAATTCTGAAAAGATTCAATTAAAATTCAATTACAATGGATGGAATGGGGAAAATGGGGGAAATAATGTTAAGATGCTTGGCTGTCTTTTGAATCTTGGTTTTCCTTGCATAACATTATAAAGTAGATACTTGAGAGAGAGAGAAAGGAATAGCCAGAAATATCACCACAGAAAGCTTGTAAGTTCGTCTTCTGCCTATAACTGATTGGAATACCTAAAATGGGGCTACAAGGTGTCCAGTGAAGGAGGCTTCCTGCAGAGCCTCTGCGTTTCATAAGACCATGAGTGGAATCCTGAACAGCATCCAGAATCTTCAGAGGTGGGAAATTTCCACTTGAAAGGATAAGCAGACCAGCCTGGAGCAGCTAAATGAAAAGAAGATACTTCTTGAAAGAAAGATCAACAGGAAAATACAACAATATAGGCAGACCGACTGATTACTACATTAACAAGCAAGGTATTCGCCCGAGAGACATCAAGGCAAGTGGTCAGGTCTACTCAGAGCAAACCCCGTTCCAAGACTAAGTCTCAATGGGAATACACACTCTGATTGGTGACCGTGTTCATCACAGATAAGCGGAAGGTAGGGAAAAACAGCAATGAAGCTGCGAGCTAAGCCCTACAATGTTCAATAGACTCCTGTGAACCCAAGTGGAGACCTGGTTGGCCAGGAGTGTGACAAGACCTGGGGACTATTGGGTCCAGAGTCAGTGACGTAGCCACAGAGGACTAGAGTGGAGAGTGAAGCATCTAGCTGATAAGAAGAGAGGGCATATGCACAAGAACACACACACTTGCAGATAATACCCACTTGACCAGGCTTCAAAGACTGGATGATCAGAGCTCAACTAAAAGAAGAAAGAAGAGGAAAAAAAGAGTAATCTGATACAATTTGATGAACTTGACCTACACCTATGGATGCAGTAGCTCAAAAGAGGGAACAAATCTTTATAGTGAGGATCATTCCCACCCCCTCCATACACAGGGTAGACAGGGATGGGCAACTTGGACACTGGCTACCCAAAATGGGGCGAGAGGCCTACAAAGGTAAGAAGTGACTGGCTTACAAGTTTTCAAGAGGGAGCCTAGATGCAGAGGGTGGGGAGGAAGGTAGAATCTCCACTGAGTAGTATCCAATCTGTCTGGGCGGGGCTGATGAAAGGAGATGTGGATAGGTCTCTTGTGATACAACAGTGAATGATTGTTATCACGTCTGATTGTGAGGGTTGGAAATGTATGTAAAGGTAGACGTTTTGTAGCAAAAGGAGTGAAGTGATTGACTTTGCAGTCTAGGAGCAAAGGTCCCTGGGACCATCAAGGGAGAAGAGCGGAGAGCAGGACCCTACCCAGAGAAGCAGTGACACCAGAGATGGAGGCAGAGACGATGACGTGGAGAGATAGAGTAGCTGGGGACTTTAGACCCAGAGAGGGAGAGGAGCTGTATGCAGACGACCGGAGGGTAGGTGTGCAGGGTATATACCCTTTGGTTGATTGATGATGCATGAAGGGGACTGTAACCATGGCAATGAAATGATATACGATAGGATGAATGTAAAACTAATGTTCTCCCATGTAAACTATCATATAATTCACAATAGAACATTTAAAAGGAAAATAAATTCAATTACAGAAATATAGTGTAAAGCCAACACATACAAGCAGTTCTCACCTTTATATTTTATTCCTAGTTTCACATAATGCTAGCAACAATCATATATTAAATAGACTTTATAACTAATTAATCATAATAACTCCTGAAGAATATTTTGAAAATACATTGAAATTCATTCTAAGCGTTTCTATGCCCTATCAAGAAAGTAAAAGTGCTCAATGGCATGTCAGTATATCAAGTAATTTCTACTCGGGGGTCAGCGCTTGATGGCAGACTAGGCAAAAAGGCTGTGCAGAACCTCTTCAGCAAAGACACAGAAAACCAGATGAAACAGATTCAGAAGATGGTCCCAGAACTCTGAGCTTCAGATAAAGGGATAAATAAGTGGATCAAGTGCTTGCTGGGAGAAAGAATTGGAACAGAAGAAAGGAGGTGACTTCTGATTTGGGGTGGCTAATGTGTCCTGCCGCAACTATTCTAAATTGGAGTGAGCGGACTGAGAGAGAAGAGCACTCCTGTTGTAGAAACCTGCCTGTGACTTACAGAGACAAAGGTAAGAGTATTGTTATTTTTCCTTTTTCTACTCATTTCCACTCTGGTGACAAGAGGTGAGACCTGTATGAGTAGATACCCCTAAGGTGAGGTACTGGTGACACATGGAGTCCACAAGGGAAGGAGACAACAGAAAGAGCTGGCGCCAGTAGTCTTGTCCAAATGGGGTCTGGTCAGCCCTGGGAAGATTCTCATTAGGAGGTGAAGCGAAATGGACTTGAAGGGAAAAAAATAACAGTGGGAGAAGCTGGTGATAGATCAGAGAGGCACGGGGGAAAGTGGTGAAATATTTCAGGTGGTTTAGAACATAAGAGTCCTATAGGGGGCACTATATAATTATTCTTATTAGTTTATATTGTTATTATCATTTTTTACATTCCTTTTTCCAGTTCTAGTGTCTTCATATTGTTTATTCTGGGTTTTTATGACTTTCATTTTTAGTCTTGTTGTTTTGGTCCTCCTTCTACCTTCTAAGAACACTTTCTCTTCTTGCCTCATCTGATAGGAGACAGCAACTGCAGCCAGACAGCCATGCTACAATTTAAAACCCACCAACTGGACAAGAGCCCTTTAAAACCCACCAACTGGACAAGAGCCAATACCAGCAGCTATAGTCCACAGCAGTGTCTACAACCAACAGCAGCTACAAATACTCAGAACTAAGCTATACAAACAGTGAACAGAGATGCCCATCTCCTGATCACACCAGGAGACAATTGGAAGTGCTAAAGAATACACCAACATACATTCATCAGATTAATACAAATACAACAATACCAAAAGGCCTATAGAGCATCAGAAGAGTTCTCTTCATGGGCAGAAACAAGACAGAGTAGCTCAAACAAATGACCAAGAGGAAGAACTACAAATTGCTTTGGAAGGAGATGAGGTTTTGGAACTACCTGAAAAAGAATTCAGGAGAATGCTATTAGGGTATATCCATATGTTCCACAAAAGGTCAAGGAAAATAAGGAAGAAGTCAGAAAAGGAACAATTAAACCAAATAGATACAGCACTGGAGATAATACAAAACTGCAAAAAGACGTCCAGATGATCACAACTAAAATATCAGAAATAGACAATACAATAAAAGGGCAAAGGAATAGAACCGAATTGATGAAAACCAAAAATAGCAAGCTTGAAGGTAAATCTTTCAATACTGCTAACATAAAAGAACAAGCAGAAAAAATACTGAAACAATCTGACGAATGTCTAAGATTCATGTGGAACAACATGAAGAGGAATAACCTACGGGTGTTTGGAATTCCACAACAGGAAGAGACAAAGAAATACACAGAAAAAAATAAGTCAAAGAGCTATTGAGAAAATTTCTATAGCATCTTGAAAGACGAGATGCATTCAAGGAGTTGAATGAACCCCAGGCAGGATAGACCCCTAAAGAAAATCATCAAGACATATCATAATCAAACTATCCAAAAACAAAGATAAGGAAAGAATCATGAAAGAAGCTAGGGAAAAAAACACACAAATGTTACCTAGAAAGGAAAATCAATTAAGATTAAGCCTTGATTTCTTATCAGAAGCCATGCAGGCAAGAAGGCAATGGGGAGACATATATAAAACTCTGAAAGAAAAAACCTGCTATCTAAGAATCATATATCCAGGAAAGCTGCCAGTCATATATGATGACAAAATTAGAGCTTTTCAGGATAAACAGAAACTAAGAGATTTTGCAAAAGCCAAGACAATGCTTCAAAACATACTAAATGGGAGTTGTCTGAGAAGCAACAAGAGCAGACAACAACCAGAGATTGACATACATAGCAACGCCACCCAGAATTTAGGCCAGATATGGAAGAGTCTAGAGCAGAACAAAACTACAAGAATGAACTTAGGGGATCTGGGGTGTCAGTTTATGATCAAGACAACTACAAAGCGAAAGAAGGTAAAAGTATAATAACAGAGATCCAGGTGGTGAGGAGGTAGATAGACTTTAGTATAAAACAGACTGTTTTAAACTGAGGAAGAAATTAATAAAGTACAGGGTAACCTCAAAGAAATGTAATACATCTCCACAACAAATCAAAAGGAAAACCCAAGAAACACATCAACTATGAAGAAATTGACAAGAAAAAGCACAAAAGTAATGAACTCAGCATTTAGAAAGGAAAGCATGCAGAACAAAAAAAACAGCAGCACACAAAAAAATAAACATCTTAATGACAATCCATACCTGTTGATAATTATACAGAAAGTCAATGGATTAAATACACCAGAGAAGTGACAAAGAGTAGCAGTATGGATAAGAAAACAAGATACTTCAATATGCTGTTTACAAGAGACATACATACCTTACACAGAAAGACAAAAATAGATAAAAAATTGTTAAGATGGAAGATACATATCAAGCTAGTTGCAATAAAAAAAGAACAGGAGTGTCAACGTTAATCTGTGATAAAACAAACTTTAAAATTGACTAAGAGGACAAAACCATAATAAATATCTATACCCACAATGAAAGACCCCAAAATACATCAATCAAACCCTAACAGAACTGAAGTAATAAATGGACAACTCTATAATAGTGGGAGATATTAATATACCACTTACAATACTGAAAGACTCAATGCTGAATAATGTAGAAAACAAAAAAAGAATTTGGAATACACAGTCACTGTACCAAAAAGAAATGGTCAATGTTCTAGCATTTGAAGAGATAGTATAGGATCAAGAACAGAAGGTACTGATGGAAGATCTGCACTTAAAAGACACTGGAGAAAAACAAGGCTCTAGGAATTGACACAATTCAACAAACTGATGTAGCACTGGGGGCACTCATTCATGTATGCCTAGAAATTTGAATGACAGCTACCTTAGCCA